GTTGCATCTAGCATCTTTGCATTGCATTTTGCATCTTGTTAACCATTCAAGGAATTCAAAATCTTTTTTACGAACATAGTAATGGATCAAAAAAATAGGTTCACATTCCCAAGCCTGAAGTTGGACAACTTGAGGATCTTAAGAGGCCTAGTAAGAAACTTTGTTGTTTTCGTTTCCAAGTATGGACACCTGTTATCTTTACTGGACATGCAAGTAAATGAGGAAATGCTGCTAGCTCTCATAAAGTTTTATGACCCTCTTTACCATTGCTTCACATTTCCAGACTTTCAGTTGCTGCCGACTTTGGAAAAATAATTTGCGCATCTGAAGATTCCCATGACTTTTACACCTCACTATGGAAGAGAGAGAAGACCAAACAGGAGAGATATTGTTGAGGCTCTACACCTGGAACCCATTTACCTTCCAACCCATTTAGATATTAGAGGTGGATTTACTGGAGTGGAAGTAAGACCATTTACGGAAAATTATGGGAACCTTTGAGGCTATATTGGCTTTCTTAATTTATGGCTTATATCTGTTTCCAAGTAGCCCTGATTCCATCAGCTTAAAGGCCATCAAGTTATTCATTGTCAGAAATCCCGCTCATACTTTATTGGCTGATACGTATTACACCATTCATCGATGGAGGGTGTGTGATCTCGGACAATTTGATTGTTGCACGATGCTCTTAAGCAAGTGGTTTATTTCACATTTTCCTAGGACGTTCTCTTTATGGAACCTAGAAGACAGTGATGCATGGGTTAGAAAGCTGGCCTCACCCTCTCACTATGACATCAACTACTATGATCTTGCTCACAGAGGAATAGTAACGATACATAGCTCTGAAAATTTCTCAAAGGTACCTCTGATCGACACCAAAAGATGTATCAGCTACAGCCCTATCCTGACCTACCGCCAGTTAGGATATCCAATTAAAAAGAAGTGTATCCATTTATTCCATATTAATTAATCTATTTTTTTAATTATCCACCATTGTCCATATTATTTCCATAAATTCCTATCCATAAAAATCCACTTCTTTTTTATTATCCATCATTGTCCATATTATTTTCATAAACCCATAATTCAAAAATTATTTAATATCCATTTCCCATTACAATATCATCACCAAAAATCATTTAACAAAAAAGCCCATCAAAAGTTTACAAGAAAAATGCAAAAAAGACAATGCTTCATAAGCCCATATACCGAGCCAATTCCATCACAAAAATTATTAATAAGAAAAACCATCATTCACATTATTACAACAAAAATTAAAAGAAAAAAACATAATACTCCGACTCTGCATCAACACAAAGCCTACTACCACTACAATGCATAACGTACTGCACATGCTACAAGTAGAAAACAAAGCCAATACAACCAAAATGTTGCGTCACTTCTATCACAAACATAACAAACAATAGCGAGTGAATCATACATGCTACTACGCAGGGCACCAAACATGTTTTTATCAAGTTGCAACAAAACTCCAAAGACCTCTGCAATAACACATCCTGCAACATACTACAATTACACAACCAAGACCTGCAACATACTACAATTACACAACCAAGACCTGCAACGGGAATGTAACTTTATACAACATAACAACAGAAATAAGACAAATTTAAATGTACTCTAAACTTAGGGCGGGGGGATTGATGGCCGAGGAGGAAGAGCAGACAGAGGAGGTAGAGGAGAGATTGTCAGGCACACTCAGTAGAAGTCTATTATTATTTTGATGTAGTACTATGATTTGTATTTTTTTTTCTGACATTGTTACTACATTTTGGATTTTGTGTTGCACAACTATTTACTATTATATTGCTATATTATTTTGTATGTCTGTTATTTTATTCGACATTGTTCTTCATAATTCATCTAAAAACAAATACATAACTCGTTATAAAAAAAACTTGTTCGGATACACTTCAGAAATGTATCTCCAAAAAATTCTCATAGATACATCTTCAAAAATATTCAAATGAAAATGAGTTATAGGAGATATATTGTGAGAGTTTAAGGTTTAAATAGTTTTGTAGATATATCTCCGGAATATGTTATGAGTGACCCTTTTGGAATAAAAGAGTGTTCTAAAATGAATGATCCATTTCAATTTTCAATGCATCTTTTTCAATTTTATCCTCTAATTAATATTACTTTCACCATTTCCAATATATGATAAGGGGACTTTAGTAAAAATATCATTCTCTCTTCCAATTATTCATTTTTATTAATCTAAGTGAAATGGTCAACTGGATCATTCATTGTGGGATGGAGGGAGTAACGTTTACTAGAAAATGGAGTGCGTCCAGAGAGATATCTCTGGAACTTAGAGGCATAATGGGAACTCTACACAGTGGATAAGAAATGCATAGTGTGAAAAAAGAAATTCTCGTGTTGAATTATCTATGCAGTTAAGAATATCTCTGACAAATTTTTGTAAATACATCTTCGAAAATATTCAAATGAAAATGAGGCATGGAAGATATATTGTGAGGGTTTAAGGTTTAAATAGTTCCGGAAATATATCTTCAAAATATGTGAACGTTTGGTCAAAAGTGGGGTGTGTCCGGATATATATCTATGAAACCTGGAGGTATAATGGAAACTCCACAAGATGGATAAAAATACACAGGATGGAAAAGAAATTATCGTGCTGAATTATCTATGCAGCTAAGATCTCAAATGCATGGCCTTCAACACCTGAATAGCTTGAGGCAATAATCCAAGCAGACTCCACAAAACAAGCCTCGTAGATGTGATCAACATACTCTGCTATATGATCAACGGACAAGCCACGTTCCTTCCATAACCAGATGTATTCACCGCCGAGGGTGCTAATATCGGATAGCTCATACTCATTCCGAGAGAGGGAAATTTGAGGAAAAAGATCACCCCTTTGACCCATGATGGATCATGGATGGAAAAGGACTTCATTAAGTAGAGTCACCATAAAGTGACAACCCTACTGAGTAAGAGGACTCAATGTTCTCTCCAGGCAATAACTGGACTTGTTGTATATAACAGCTTTGCAAATCCAACTTTTCGCTCCTTCTTTTGATGCGAGAAAAAATCACAAGTTCATGAAGGAAGTAGGGTCTTGTATTAGCAACAACCAGTATCCAACTTCCTCCGGCTAGCTGTTTCATTAATACACTACCCCTTGTTCCCAAGTCAAATGAATTCGAATATTCCGGGTGTCTCATTTTGGTGAAAGTGTATTTGTCATTTGAATTTAGGTAGCTTTTTCTCTACAAATGAGTATTCGGTGAAAGAGGTTTACATGAATTTATCGTTTGAAAACCAACATTCTTCCAACTTACAATGGGAGAAGGTTTGGAATAAGGCAATACCGTTAAAAGCGTCGTGTTTGGTTTGGAGATTGTTACAAAACAGTATTCCTACCAAAGAAAATTTAGCTAGCAGAGGTGTCTTAGGCCAGGTGCAAGTTGTTTGTCCAGGTGAGTGCGGGCGAGAAGAAACAGTTTCTCACATTTTCTTTGAGTGTCCAGCTTTTACAGGTGTGGGGGGATCATTTGTAAATGGATTGGAGTTCGATCGGTTCTGCACAACGAAGGTTGACAACACTTGGAGCAGTTTGAAAGTCTCCTAGGAAGAGAAAGATCCCTAACTAAGAAAATGTCCGTAATATGGTCCGCGTGCATTTGAAACATTTGGAAATCAAGAAACTATAAATTATTTCGAAGTGAGGAAATTTGCACCAAAAAAATAGTAGAAGAGGCTAAAATCTTGGCTTGGAACTGACTCAATATTAAATCTAACTATAAATTATTTCTAAGGGAGGAAATTTGCACCGAAAAAATAGTAGAAGAGACTAAAATCTTGGCTTGGAAATGACTCAATATTAAATCTAACATGATATCAGATAATATTGGTGTGTGGGGCTTGAATCCCGTTTCCTGTCTCGGCATTGTCGACAATTAATCGCTTTGCAAGTGTTTCGCTAGTGTTTCGGCTTGGAGTCTGGGTGAGTTCATGCTGGTTTGAAGTAGTTTTAGGCTAAATCATTTTTCAAGTTTCATCTGATGTGAGGTATGCTGCTCGTCTGAATTTCTGGGAAGTTGCTGCAACTGTCGGTCTTTAGTAATCAATTGAGGAATCTATAATTGCAGTTGATTTTCATTCTTTGATGTGCTGTTTCTTCTGGTCAATTTTTTCCTGAAGATGGAGGAGCAGGCCGTGACGTGAGGTGGTGTTTCGGCGTTTAGGAGCAGGCCGTGACGTGAGGTGGTGTTTCGGCGTTTAGGAGCAGCTTTGTTATTGAGTTTTTTGAGTTCTGTCAGCATGCGCCTTTGTTTGGTTTTTATCTTGTTGTTGAGTCTTGGTTTCTGCCTAGGTGTTTTTTATTGTGGAGCATGTTTTGGTAGCAGATTGTTTCAGGTGTTTTTTTTTTTTCATTTGGCTTCTGGTGTAATTTTAATATGTACTTTCTGATCTAGCATTTCTTATGCTAGTTTTATTTAATATCAGTTTTCTTTGCCTGTTTCAAAAAAAATCCAGAACTTCTAAGGATTAGAGAATCGGCAGTGGATTTGTATTTCTCCACTTGAGTTTTAGACTTTCTTGGACCATAAGTCCCCAGGACATTCCAAGTAATTATGCAGAATCTACACTTATTTCCACGCACCCACACAAGAACATTCTAATCTCTGTTTACACAAAAACTTGGCTTCTTTCAGGTAATTAGTAATAATGTAGAAATACAAATCAAACAGCAAATGGTCAGAGTCATCAATAATTTTCATTTCAGAAAAAAGTTTTAATACAACAGAGAACACAATGTTAGAGAAAGTGAGAAACCTATCGAAGACAAACCTGCAACAACACCGAACACATCACATTTACACCTAGACAGGAGTAAGCTACGACAAATAAAAATTGCCACTAATCCTATAAATGCTTATCATATCCCTCTATCCATGGCTCACTGTAATTTTTTAATGTGAGTGGAACAGGGTTCTTCGATGACCTGGTCATTTTTCACAGTATAGTCTTTGCTTCACCCGCCTTCCATTTACATCGCTGCCATCGAGTATTCCTTCGTTCCTATGCTTGCATAAAAAATCTGAATGCTCGGTAAATCTAGCCACATACTCCAAAAGCTCAGTCAAAACAGATGGGCAACTTTCCTTCAAGTACTCAAAACCATCAGTTTGCATCACAGCTGAAAAAAAAGAGAGGAAACATAAAACTTCAGTTGATAATCACAGTTCTGGATGAAGAACAAATAGGTACAAACAATTCTTTTGTTGTTATTCTACCAGTATAAATTTACCAAAGATATAGGTAGAATTGTAAAAGCCATTTTCTATGGCATCATAATTAAGAGTTTAAGAATTACCCCCAAAGTCACTAAACTTGATTTGCATAAGAAAATTAGTGGTAGTTTTGATATTAAAAAAAATACATTAAAAAAATTCCTTAATGAAAAATCATTATTAGTCCTCATTAATGAGTTTAATTGGCATTGATAGCAACATACTGACTTCAGGCCTTGAGTTTAATGATGTTTGTGACAAAATAGAAGTTGAATTAACTAAAACAAACCTCTTAGATTTTCAGGCCTTGCAATGAATTTCAGACAGACTGCTTTCAGCTGGAAACAATGGTGCTGCTCTGCTAAAGCTAAAGTTGTAGCTACAGTGTTTATTGCAACATCTTCACATAGACTTGCTTCACACATGAGCCTAAGTCTATCTAAGCCATATCGATCAGCTGCTGCTAGCAGATGCTGAGCCATCAAGGTAGTTGCCCATTTTGAGTTAATCCCAGTAAACTCTTGCATGTCAGGCAGTGAGTCCCAATATATGAAATGAAGCATTGCCTGCAAAATAGGAAAATATGGCATAGCACAGCAGACAAGTTGCACATTCCATATGCATATTATTAAACTTGTAAACAAAATAATAACACAAATAAACACAAGTACAAACTGCATAAAGTCAAAGGCTAGTCGAAAGTACAAGATTTAATGGTGTATAAACAAGAATTTGATAAACCAGCTAGAACAACTTGAGAAACAGGAACCAAGCAACAATGGAATCAAAATCAGAAAGGAGCTCATAACTACAGTCAGTTTATACAAGAACTTTGGGGGTGTCTTTCAAAAAGGTGCACACATGTTTCTTCCCAATCTCACATCTCAGTAGACTGCCTACATTCTTAAAAAAATATGAATCTCACATTATTATTTTTTTAAGACATAAAAGCGGGCAGCGGGCAGAAAGTGTTGGCAAAAAATTAGACATTCTTCAACAAAGTACCGTGTTTTCTACTGTTGTGTTCTGCTTGAACCTTCAAAATCTGTTCAGAAACATCCAACAGTAAATAATACTCGCAATTTGCAACCGGCAAGAGTGGAATTTTCCAAAACTCAAAAGTGACCATTTCTATGAAGAGAGAGAAAACTGACACAGTGAATTTGTGTTCACCTCTCGTTAGATCCAACTAAAGCCAAAAGCGGGGAGGATTGGACATTCCGGTGGTTGCAATGCTATGCTTAACAATGATAATAAGGGGAACACATAGGGAAAGACTCCAAGTCCAAACTTATATGAAGTGCAAAGTCTATATCAGGACAGAGACAAATAGAATAATCGGAACATTTTTACGACGCTACATATTTTACAACATCGTCGCAAACATAAATTAAACAGAAAAAAGAGAAAGCACAGAAAACTTATGTGAACCTTGAAAACCGGAGCTTCCATATCTTCAACTTTAATACACCGGGTATTCTGATCTTTCATAGGACCAAAAAGCTGAGCTCTAAAAACAGCTGATCGAGCTGCTAGTACCAATTTATGAGCCGCAAAAGTCTCACCATCCACCTCAAAACTCACATCACTGCCTTTTCCACTTTCTAGTAGCTTCCCAAACTGGTGACCAATATTAGAAGGTGATATTGCAATAGAAAATGTTTTAGGGCCCTCTGTGTGTGACTTCACAACCCCAACGCTACAATTAACACTAAGACAGTCATCTTTAAGGTAATCTGATGTCTCTAGTGATGTTCTCTTAAAAAATCTTTTGTATCCCCTGAAAAACAAAATTTAGCACAATTAGCCTTGACCGAACTGTACAACTTCCATCGTCACAACCAGTTCCCCGAATTCAATTTACCAGGAAAATTTTGGCCAAACCATAATCAAGTAATCAACAAATACATTCAATGGGAGACATCAAAATTTCAATACAAATCAGAATTTTAAGCAACAAGAAAAACTTCAGAATTTTCAACGCATAAATATGTACACATATAACACAAATTTTCATCTTTCTTAAGAATAAAAACCACACGGGTAAGTATAGGTATGCATCTAAACCTTGAGTAAACACTCCCCCACCACTCCAAGTGTCCAGCATTGCATATTCAAGAACAAGAACATGAAAATCAATCATTCAAAATTTAAACAAAATCTGAAAAATTCATCAGATGTGAAGCATAACAAGCACTAGCCTCAAAAACAAATTGGGATCAGAACATGAAGAAAAAAAAACTAAATTTTAAATTAATCAAAATTTAAAAATGACATTTTTATCCAAAACGAACTCAATAAGGACTGATAACTAACCACATGCTACCACGGTATTTCAAGGTGTACGGTCCACTCTCCAACGTCCTCTCGAAATGGCTATGAACCTTATGCCTCTCTTTCCCACTCTGATCCAAAAGGGTCAATTCAAAAAGAGCCCTAACATCAGTTCCTTCGCTTGCAAGCGCGATGAAAAGTGACACATACGTAGCATTATCTTCCACGCTCTTCCCATCAGGGTAGAAATAGATCGCCCAATCGTACCCTCCCACCGAGAATATCTCCGACGCTATGTACTTCCCAACTCCAATCCCTTTCGATAACGAATACCCCGTTATCTTGAACCGGTGGGAGCCTTTAACCGTTTCGGTTATCGATGTCGACGATGTAGTTGCCGGACCGGAAGAAGGTGTTCCCGGCGACGAAGTTGAGGAAGGCCTCGATGTTTCTCTCAGAATCTTACCCATGCGAGAGCAACAATGTGTTGAAATCAGGATGAGATTGAGATGATCCAAAATCAAAACCCGATCTGTAGAGAATTGGATCGGACGAGAATCTATATCTCGAAAAGGAGAGATTTTGGTGAGAAAATTTAGGGTAAGATTGTGAGATTATGAAAGATGAAATTTCTAGGGTTTGGATTTGGAGTTGGAGAAAGAAAGAAAGAGATAAAGGAAGATAAAAGTCGAAGAAAAAAATTGAATGGTTGTGATAGAGGCTTTATAGTAATTTTAGTTTTTCGGACAATAGAACAAGAAAGATATAGTCACGCGCTGTTTTTCGCGCGTGGGTTTTATAATTTCTTGGTTAACTTGCTGTGGTTTTGGACACGTGGCAGTCGATGATAAGCAGATCTCGAAAGTAAATAAGCTGTAAAACGGCGGTGAAAAAAGTGATTTTTTTTAGTCACATTTGACGGCGCCTCAGTTTCACACCGTTTTGAAGGAAACCAAACACAAAAGTAAGCACGTTTTTTAACGGTAATAAATAAACTAAACAGATTTCAATTTTATTTTATGAGCGAGATTTCAAATTGAGTTTGTGACCCTATTTTTTTAGAACCTAAACAAATCATTGTAACTTTAGTTTTAAACTACAATAAGATAAGATCTCATGAATACAACAAAAAAATTATGATCTCATGGTTCATTGAAATAGTTACTAAGTATATTATCCGTTCACTGTATTTGTTTAATTAAATAAATATTTTTATTATTTTTATTATTTAATTTACAAAATTAATTTTATTATTTTAAATTCAAATGAGTTTGATTTCTCTTTTTTATAAAAGATTGATGAGATTTTTATTTTTTAACTTATGTTTTTATTTATAAGGTCAATAATAAATTTATATGTGATGAATTATTATGTTTTACAAGAAATTTAATATTTTAAAAAATTAAAAAAATATATAACTTTAAATATAAAATATGAGTGGCAATCAAAATTATTTAAATTTAAAATAGAAAAATTTATTTTGTGAATCAGATTAAATAGAGTGATAAAAATGTAATTAAATCTAAAACATATTATCATATTAAAATATTTAAATTAATTTAAAATTAATCATATCTTAAATAAAATAACTAGATTAAATAATCATATAAACTAAATGATTGACACATTTTCTCAATTGTATTTTGGGAGGCATTTATTCACATGTACATGCATTAGCATGAAAATAATGTTCTTTTTTTATTTCACATGTTTTAACATGTGGTTTATAAATTATGATCTATTATTGACTATATCACTGTGTTTAAAATATATGATTAATTATTTAATTAAAAAAATTATTTATTTTATTATTTATTTTGATCACTTATGAAAGCTCTAAAATTTGATTAAATTTTGGTAAAACGTGATGTAGAACAAAATGTTCTAATATGAAAAATTCTGTAAAGAACAACATGTCAGACAAGATGTTCTATCTTGAGGACTCGACATCTTGGTCTAATACAGCAGAATTGTTGCAGATTTGTTCAATAATTTAAGGCGCAAACAGAACATGGATCAAAGAATGATTAGACAGAGATTTTGAAGCTTATGGACAACTGAAGATTATAAAAGGAAGACCAATACCTAAGACAAATTACTAGTCCTTGTTAAGACTTTTGTAAAGTAAAAAATAAGGGTTTACAATTTTGAGAGTCGAGTGCTTTTCTTGTATTATAAGTCACCCTTTGTATCGGTTTGATACATTGTGGTAGACATAGTTTTTCATATTCAGAAACCTGTAGGTAATGAATTGTATATTATTTTTGGATGAAGCTTTTAAGCTAATTCAAGTATTAGTGTTAGGCAAGAGTATTGACTGAATATTATGTTCAAAGGGTTGTCTTTCAATTGAACAGTTTGATGCAGTCACCGGAGGTTGTGACTGTTAGATATCACTGAGGTGATTTAGGAATTGAGATGGGTTTCTGGTAGAAGTTGCACTGGGTAGGGAATTAAGTGATAAGTTACCGGAGGTTGTATACTTAGAATTAATACTACTGATAGTGAATTTTATTCTTGGCTTGGTAGCCTTCAAATGTATGTGTTGTTGTACACTGAACTGGGTCATCATATCTTGATGCTATTTATTATTTTGTTATGCATAACTCAATCTATTCTTATGCTCTAAAATATATGTCTTAACAGATGTTTAAACATCAGTCATGACACAGTTATAACTTTGAGATATTAGAATGCTCCTTCTTATCATTATGCAGAGATCAAGTGTCTCAACATCTCTTAGGACATCTGAGATCTGCTTAACAAAATTTCAATTAGAATCAGAGCAGGCATCATGTTTTGCTTCTAGATGAGTTATAAGGAATATACTTTCTGGTCTTTTGAACAAGGAAGGAGATTGTATGATCAGACCATCCATTATTGTTATGTTCAAAGGGATTGGAAGCTATGATGATAGCTTTTTGAATCCAGCCAGACAACTACTGATGGTTGACTGTTACTTTTGTGAAAATTCTACCACTGTTGCTGATAATGATGTTATTTTTACGCATGGTGCCTTATAAGATGTTCTGACATCTTAGCGCTTGTTGAAGATGGTGTCAGCCTCTCTAAACGTTCATGCCATCACTAGCTGAGAGTAATATGAAGGAGAGAGCATTGTGATTTGGCTTCCGCCAAAGGATAATCCTATGTTGCTTGAGAGATAGTTTCAACCAGTTATCATGAAGGGTAATAAGAGAAAAAATGTTGAGTTAAGGTCCTGTTTATCAAATTCAAGATCTATGGATTTGGCAAACACGACTTGAGTTTTCTCTCAAGTCCACTCATAAAGGCACTTTTGAATGTATTTGATAAATAGAGTTCAGAAGAGAAGATGGTCAAGAAGAAGATCCACGAGTACATATTTAAGAAGTGTGACATGAGAATGTCATACCATTGAAGAAAGACAAGAGCAATTTATTTTTGCTCCCAACCCTATAAGAGAGTTTATATGTTTAAGGATTCCCTATCAAAATTCTTGGAAGGTCGTCTATTCTATAATAGAAAAGAAGGAACGATATGGTTGTTCAAATGTCAGCACACTTGTACTGACACTCAACTAGGCCGGTACTGGAGTAAAAACTGATCAATGTCAAACCATTCTTATCAATGTGAAGACATTGGATATTTGTGGAGAAATTTTTCCTACTGATCTCAAGAGCAACTACACGAGGTTTCTAACTCTTAGAAAGTGATCCTGATTATCCAAGCATATTACTGGTTTGTCTGAAGATGGTCTTCTAAGGAAGATTTATGGTTTAAAAATTTCTTCCTAAGGTGTGTTGGATGTCTTATCTTGTAGCTAGAGTAAAGAGGTGTGTCAACCTGAAGAAGCATTAGTCTATAAGGACTAAGCAGTTGTAGAGGGCTCATCTAGCGAGTAGGGCTTTAAAAGATTCACGAGGATATGGTTTTCCTAGTCTGAACACTAAATTGTCAAGAGGTTGTGTATCAAGAAGCAAGTTGAGTCATGGATGTTAATCATAATGTCTTAACATTCTGATCATCATCGAGATTCTCTAGCTAAAAGGGACACTAATGACATTTGGTGACTGAAGAATACAAAATTCAGATTTTAAATCAATTGTTAAAGCATTTAAATGTTGCTTGGTGTTCAAGAAAGATGATGTCAAAATGTCACACCAGAAGGTGCAGCTTCAGACAGTTGCAAGAACTCAAGAACCTTTCTATGTATCTGATTTGACTTGAAGAATGGATACAGTCGATATCATCTGTGAAGTTCTCAAAAGGTCATTATCTTGCTCTTACATGTAACCAAGGTGTGTAATAGCTTTAGCACCAATTTCAATGTTCTGTTCATTGGAAAAGGAACTGATGTTGAAACATCATTCCAGGAGAGTGTGTGCAGAATCTTGTTGATCCAATGAGTGAACTTCTTGGACAAAGGAGTGATGCATCATATGTTCTGGATGCTAAACAAATGTGTGTTAATTAAAAGTGTTGGGAATCTTCTTCAGATTGGACTTAAAGAGACATTTGGTTTGCAGTCTATGGAGTCTCTATCCAAGAAACTTGTTATGGATAGGTGTGCTGGTGGAAGTGAAGATTAACACATGATCATTTTGATGAACATTTCTTGGGTCAGTTTATTTCTGATCTAAGCGCATATGGGTGCAGAAGTTATATTCCAGTATCTCCTATAGATGTATGTGCCCTAATTCCTAGTGGAGGACTGATAAAGGCATCTCAACCAGACTATTTAGAGGTGAAAATCTAATATTCAAGACGTTTTCTCAAATATCTTGAAGACTCTTCTTCTCTTAAGAAGCCAAATTTGTGTGAACCTGCTTGTGGATACTCTTTTCAAATAGAATATTTTCTGATATGGATTATTATGTTGGAGAAGGGAACTTAAAGAAGCTATTAACCAAGATGGTTTTTTAAAAGACTGGTTGTTATTTTTTCTTAAAACAGGATGAAGGTTGTTTACTCAAACTTGAATATAAGTTTCAAGTCTATAAAAACATTGAACTCTTGTTCTGTTGAGGTAGTGAAATCTTTCAAGTTGGGATGAGCTTTTCAAGAATTATGTATGGAGCAAGGAGGACTTAGAATTGGAAGATCCAGTTTCTATGGTGGATCAAAATACCACGCTTTTGGAACTCTGATTGATTGAACTTATAGGGAGTTGTGTCAAATAACCATAGTTATTGGTCTATGCAAAAGGGTAGTAGACAAGAAGCTAAAAGAGAAACCGTTCCTGTCCATGCCTTGGTGCGTGTAGAAGAAATTCCAAGGTGCTTAAGGATGATTGATGTCTCTAAAACATCAGATAGATTATTTACACGTTCTGTTTCTAGTAAAAACTTCATGAGATGTATGAGAGTTTATTTCCCTCAGTGGTTTTTTGATAAGTGTGAAGATTAAGCCGATATAAGTGTGATTTTAATGTGTACCTTAACATGGTGTAAGAATTACTATGCAAATGGTAAGTCATGTGATTATTGTT